TCTCCTGCAAACACAAAAAATAAATGGTAACGTTGAAGCAATAGATTAGAAACCTCCAAAGTTTGGTAAAGCAGAGGGAAGTGTTTTCGGGGAGGTATGCACCTTACTTGAGTCATCCTGAGGAAAAAACTTTGTCTTGGTACACAGGCTTTTTGTCTTTGACTACTCAATTTGGAGTGAACGTCAGAACACCACTGCATAGCTTCAAGCTCCTTCTATCCACGTTATGTTTGCAGTGCGCTACTGGGCTCATTTATTTTACAAGCTCTGTGTGCCGCTGGCTTGGGCAGAGCAGAGACCTGAGCACAAGGCAACCTTTGCCACTCCGCACGTGTGTGGGGAGCGTGGTGCCCACGCGTGCCTAGGCGCGGTCCTGGGGCAGCCGGGGCGGGCTGGCACCATCACCGCACGCACTGGTGGTTGCTCCCGCTGGACATGCTGCCTTTCCTGCCTGGATGTGCCTCCAGCGGTGCAAAGCCATCGAGTGTCCCTAGCTGTACGTTAGTCTCTGCCTGCATTGCGTAATTCCTGGTGTGTGGTCTGCTTGGAAAGTCTGAGAAAAATCTAATCTGGAAAGTATTGGGGGTAAGGGTGGTAGGGAAGGAAGAGGGAAAGAAGGTAATTGAGGAGTTGAGTACAGTGTTTTTCCTTTCTCAGACAACAAACATACTTTTCAGGCTCTTAGTTTGGACTCAGATGAAGCAAGATGGAAAAAAGTGAATTACCCGGGAACGGGCATGATATCACCTCTGACTGCCCGACCTCTGAGAATCAAAAGATTGGTGAGCCGCACGTGCATAAATCCCTTAGAAACTGAAAAGATGTGACAGACAAGTGGCAAGAGGTACTCGGAGCTAACTCGAAACATGAAAATACAAGAAAATAGCGAATTGGGTTGTGCTTCGTGACCTTTCTTAAGTTACACGAAGAACAGACACAAACTGTGGTATCTGCTTGGATTGTTAACAAGTTTGTATACATGGGTTATTCAATTAAAAGCAATTCCATGTCAGTGAGGTCATTTAAATAGCACTGTAAGTAACAGGATTGCTTCTAAATTGCCTTTGCTTTTCATTTATCTTGGTTAGTGAATAGAAGCCCAGCAATATTTGCTGTAGGAAACTGCCCAAATTTGCATTTGTACAAAGTATTTTTGTTCAGAGAAGTTTCATGGCTGCAATCCATCATGTTGTTTCATGTCAAATTGCGTCACTCCTCTAATACAGGCGATACTTAAAATACTTGTTTTCTCAGATTGAATAATTAGTCTTACTTTCCAGATACCTTCCTATCTGTGACATCCCGGTGTAGGTAATAGCACATCTCAGGTTAGTGGCTGTCTTTCCTTGTTTAAAGCTGCTGCTTTTTGTTACTCTCTGCTGAATTCTTTCCCTCTACACTTTTACAGCTGAGGTGAATTTTGCCCTTCCAGGAACATGGGAATTTCATCTTTTGCAATTGTTACCTCTTCTGAAATTCGACTGGAGCCTAAAGGCTCTGTTCCATATGGGCAGAAAGCTTCCAGTGGAAACTAAACGTGTGCGAGTGCAAAGAAAGGACTTATTTCTGTAAGCATGAAATTATCCAGGGAAGGAAGAAATTTTTAGTGTATTCAGTTACAAAATTGTTCAAACTCAGATGAGAGTCTAGAAAAGTTCAAGTAAGTATATCCTCTCACCATTTTAGTTCTAACTTTGGGTGAATTGGCACTTTGCATGAATCCCACAGTATGTTAGAGACACTCATAAAAAAAGTGACACCGTTTCAGACTCACTTGTAACATCAGGAAGAGATTTGTACAAAGAACGTGCCTAGAAAATGGCCGGAACTGAACAGCTTGCTAATTTCTTTAGGGTAATTAATCAGCAATTATCTTTCCTTTGCAACTGGCCTTTGTACTTTATATATAGAACAAAACAAGACAGAAATTCGCCGCATCTGTGGGTCTGAACCTTGCCTTCAGCACTGCAGTGGTCGTACGGAGCGCTCAGAGCTGCCTTCGAGGAGAAGCCAACAATTTCTCAAGCAGAATAAATGCTCAGGGATAGGATGCCGAAGTGTGGCTGGCTGAATAGTGCGGAGGCACTCCTTCGAAGCGTAAGGACCCCTTAGGGATCGTGACAAGCTGTTCGACTAGAAGTTAGTTGTCTGAACCTGCAATGAATTATATGTAGTTACTTGGCTCCGACATGATGTTGCAAGACCTAACGGTGTCCTGGGGTGCGTTTTCTGTATCTGGCAGGAGCTCGATGTGGTCCAGTCTGAACCCATGTATCATTTTTCTGCCATCCATGAAGTGACCTGCTTATCTTGCAAAATTATAAGACTCAGATTTAAATGGGAGAAAAAGCAGCAGGCCAGAGAGCTAGTTCCTATTGGAAACCAACTCCAAAGAGACCTTAAGGACTTTCAAGGGTTTACAAAAAGGAGCCATGCTGCATTGCGATAGGCAGATGTTTTCCATATGTTTTTCAAGTGAAACTTAAATATATTGAGGCAGGCATGTACAGCAATGTGAAGTTATATATTTTGGTATGAGCCTGGGCTTCAAATTGAATTATGCACAGACATCTTAAGAAAATGTGTGAGAGAGGGTTTTGCATATCTTTGTCTGTCTGCAGTTGACTCTCTCTGGCTCCTGTCTATTTCTGGAAATGGCATCCTTAACTATTTCATGTTCAAATTTACTGTCATGCATATTTAGTTCTCTTAATAACCAACTATTCTTTCCATATGCTGCTTATTTAATTTGAAAGTCTGAATCTCAACAAAGGAGAAATATAGCTTTTATCTGCTTTCTAGTCCTTTTTTTTTCTTCCCCTTTCTTTGGTTAATTTAAATCACACTTAGTTTGGTCTAGGACTCAACAGAGTACCATCCACATCTGAAAGCGCATTAAGCAGCCTTCTCATGATATTGTACTTGAGAATGAAAGTTATAATTAATAGGATTTTCTTTCTTTTTTTTTTTACACCTATGTTGTTATGCCTGCAATGATGTGTCCTGTTTAGGTTGGTTATTTGTCTTCTTGGCACAGTATGTATTTTTCTACAGTGGGTTTTATGCCTCCCTGGTTTTGCACTGGTGATTCTTAAAAGCTGATGTTGTCTCCAGGTGTGTGCCGATTTTCTGGGGCTCTCTCCAGCTGTAGAGAGAGATTATTGATGGTTGGTATTGACCTCACTGGCCTCTCATTTGCTCTGTTCTCAGGGAACTCCATGCTGCTGCGTGTCCTGCCTGCTCTGTACGAGAAGCGACCGCAGCCAATAAACCTCCATCTGCGGGAGCTGGTGGCACTGCTGGCTCAGCTGGACCAAGCCGAACACCACCACCTCCTCAGGCTCCTCCAGAGCGTGGCTAGGAAGAAAGAACTGGAGGTAAAACCATGTTTGGGAGATCTTACTGCTAAATGCTGCACCTCCTTTTGGAGGAGTTTATTTGTTTCAGATGACTTGGCAAGGTCTGTCTGCTAGCTGCTCTCTGAGCAGTGAGGAGTCCTGTAACATGCATGACAGTGCTTTCCTACGCTAATTCCCCATGAATTCTTTAATTTCATTCCAAATTCTCCATCTAATCATGAAGAGAACATAACAATGACTCTGCTGGATCAAAATGTTTGTGTTAAACCAGTGTTCTACTTTTTTGGCTCTTCCTCTGTCAGTTGAGCGTGAATTCCCATAACTATGTTTCTGTTAGAATATATGAACTGTTTAAATTACATATCAAGGGAAATCAAAATGAGTTAAGAATTAGTTAGGAGTGAGCTGGAGATTAATTAACTAAGGCAAAATAGATCATGCTTTGGAAATTTCATGTCACTGACAGCACCCAGAGCATTAGAACAAGGCACAAAACTACCTGCTTTGTGACTTTATGAAGTTCATAAAACCTTTGGAAAAGAAGAACCAACAGTAGTTAGTATCTTCCCCCCAGGTAGCAAAGGAAACTTTATCATAATACAGTCCCAGATGAAATAGAGCTCCTTAAGGAACTTTCCACTTCCTAAAACTGATAATCCTCAAAAAAATAACAGAAGAATGGGTCACTTTGTGCCCCATTTCTGCACTGAGATATATTTTATATATTTTACGCAGATGCAACAGTTTCACTGAATCAGAGGTGTATTGGTGTACCTGTGTGTTTATATGAAAAAATCATAATTCAGTAGTTAGTTGTATACACTGCATCCTGCTTGTAAGATGATTTTAAGGACTGCATCCTCAGCCCCTTGAAAATTGTGTTGTTACAAGAAATGACAACTTGCCTACAGCATTTTTTTGTGCAATGAGGATCTTGCCTCTTATTTTTTCCTCTGTTCCAGCTATTAACCTTGTCACGTTATTTAGTTTCCTCTGGAAACCAAAAATTTCTGCTAGTACTTTAATTTACTGTATCACTGGGGAAGGTTGAGTCCTATGTTGTTTTAATCAAAGAAGTGTAGGACTGGCCCAGAGCAAGGGAAATATTTGGCGAGGAGTTTTTTTGTCTTTTTTAACAACTGGGCATTTCCTTACTTATGTATGCATAACTGCAATATTTCAAGGCTACAGTTTACCCTTATTCCATATGTTGAGCTGAACTTTGATTGACCTTAGCGATAGCTCTGGGCAAAGGTCAGCAAGGGTGGAAAACTATTTTACTAGTGTTGTATTTTTATCACTCTGAGGTACAGTACCTCTTTTGGTTATATATATTTCATTTAAAAATATATTCATTGGGGTTTTGCATCTGACTTTTTTAATAGGCGGTGAAAGAGGGTATTCCGCTTCTGTTTGGACACTTGAGAGACCCTAACCACAGTGACATTATTCTAAACATACTTGTAGAAATATCTGGCTATGAACCAACAGCCTTAGCCACTTTTCTTCCGACGCTAAAAGAAATTGCTGAGAGTTATCCAAGCTTGATTGGGCAAACGGCAAAGATCTTTGGAGCTGTTGGGCACATTGATGAAGTAAGTTTAAAACCAAAAGGAGTTGGTTGGTTGGTTTTGGGGTTGGGTTGTTTGGGTTTTTTTCCTAAATCGTGTCTAAAGTTATACATCTAAGTATTCCTTTCCTCACGAGTAACCAGACTGCCATACTGGAACATATTCCTGGGCAAAAGACCGCAATAGGTCTAGACTGGAATACCACCAGTATGGCTAGGAGAGCAAGTAGCATGAAAATCAGGTGTAGTATTTTAGTGACTGAAACTCCTCCGGCCTTCTAACCAAGGAAGAGTCTTGTAGTAAAGGGTCTCTGCAGAAGTGGGAGGTTAGTGGGAAAGAAAGAAACTTTCTAGAAGAGATTAACAAGCATGAAAAAGATACATATTTAATTCTCATAACTGTAAAGATAAATATAAAAATTATTATTATTATTTTAATTTGTCTACCATGTATCTGGCCTGTGCATGTACATGTTCTGTTTATATGAATTGTCTTTTTACAGAATGGCTAAAACTCCTCTTTGATAAAAGCACATAATTGTCCTTGTTCCAGGGGCTTAGCTAAGTTAAGTTGCAGTGTACCTATACGTGAAATGAAAGGCAGAGAAAAGGGAAAAAAAAAAATACTTTGCACGCCCTTTGTATGATATCATGTTTTAGATGCATATGGCCTTCAGGAGTGCTGTAATCGTGCAGTGAAACATGAACTTCCTCGTATAGTGCAATCCAGCCGTTTTGGCTTTGTAGCCGTAGCTAATTGGGTCCTTCTTGCAAATGTCGTTATAATGAAAGTGCTTGGTGGTGATGCTGGGCTCAAGCCTCGTCACAGGAACGTCTTCACAGTTCACTTGGTTTGGGATCTGACCCAATGGGAACTTCATGCCTGAAGAGGATTTACACTGACAGACTCCTAGAAACTATGGGAGTTTCATGGCAGCGTAATGAATTTGCACAGAAGTTTTTGGTTTAGTCATAAGTGTGCAGTCTGGATGCGGGAGCGATGCTCGCCTCATCCAGGTGCCATGAACGGACTCAAACAGAGTGTGTGCAGAAACCGTCAGGCTCTCGGGTTCCAAGCCCTCTGCCCTCCCCAAAATACCAACTCAAAGGTTCCCAGCGGTGAGGGGACGTTAGATCAGGAAGATCTAACGTTAGCCCTGTCCTGCTGGGACTGGGAAATGGCTTGGACCCTGATGAGACCCGTTTCACCCTGCTGCTATCCCCTGCTCCTAAAATACCACCTGGAGGAGATGTCCACCACGAGCTTGTAAACTACCCGATTGCTCAAGACCTTGGTTGTCCTGAGGACACCGAACTGGTTAGGCTTATTTATGACACATCATGATTTTTTAATGAGATTTTATTTTCATTCCCAGGTATGAGCTTATGTGTCTTTCACCACTTTTAATAGACGTTTTCCTTCCACTTCAGATCAAGGCAAAAATAATGTTCTGCTGAACTCAAAGAATTTCTGGTAAATAATTCAATTTTTTAAGGCTGTGACAGAACTCGATTATATAGCAGAAAATGGATGGTACGTAATAAATGTAACCATTTGCTGAAGTGTGGCACTGACACCTGCCATACAGTTACCTGGATAATTTATTTCTGCAAAGAGCCCCAGTTTCCATGTCCTTTCAGTGATCCTTGAGGCAAAACTTGCGCTAAGTCAGCTGGAGTTTGTCTGCATAAAGGCTAGAGATTTCACTGTAGGTTTTGCCTTTCTGAATCAGACCTTTAGGCTGTCCTTCCTTTGACTCAGCTGGAGGCCAGTTTGGAGGGAGGAGGGGAGAGAAGTGGCATCGTTCTGCTGCGTGTGGGGAAAATCCTCCCTATATTCATCAGAATTGTCTCGGTAATACCCTTTGATGAGATAATTGCGCTAATTGAACTGGATATTGTGGAGCAGGGAGCATGGTGGGAGGCAGGGAGAAGGAGGGTCGGGGGCAGCCCCTCTGCGCTCCCGTTCGCTGGCATGGATGGATGGCGTGCAAGTCTTACTTCAGTGGCTGCAATAAGGCCAGTCCTTTCTCTCGGCACACAGTCTTGAGCATGTATTGGCTGGGCGATGGCTGTCTGATCGGTGTGGGTACAGCACAGGAAGACACCAGGCTTGCTGTTTCTGGTGATCTTGAGCTTTATATTCGTTTAAAATGCAATTTATCATCTAAGAATCAAAACCAGATTTGGTTTGGCTTTGTAAATCTTATTTCTGGGGTGGGGAGAAGCCAAAATCACATGGAAGACTGTGAGCCAAATGAAGTTTGTTGTTCTCTCCTTGTTTACTTACATCACCCTAGCAAAATTTTACCTTTAAAAACTGTGGCTGACCACATTTCATTCCGCATTTAAGTACTTAAGGGTCAATGTCTCTTAGAAGCTTTACAGCTTATAACTAACTAATCCTCAAATGGGCACAGCTGGGATCAGGACTCAAGGATTTAATTCAGATTCTGTATTTTAGCGTGTTGAACCAGCTTTTCCCATGTGAGTGTCTCTGAGGCTCCTTTTCTGCTGTGTTCTGCTGCTTAAAAGGGACTGAATTTATTTTGCCTTTTGTTGTTATTATTGTTTTATACCAACACCAAGAATAAGCAAGGGACCAACTGGACATGTTGTATTTCATATATTGTTGGAAATTACAGACTACAGTAAAGCTTACAAAGAAATGATTTGCAAAATATTTTCTCCTTGTATTTTTTAATCTGTTGGCTTGTGTGGATACACATGGATACACGTAGCTACCGAGTGTTACACACACAGCCTGGGCAAGCCAGCATTGAATAATTAATCTCCAGCCTCTCTCTTGCAAGTGTTGAGTAACTGGCATTATGTCCCATGTCATATGTCTTATTTTTCTAGGAAGCTGCAAGCTGCTGACTCAGCAGCAGACCGCATTCCAGCGCGCTGCCGCCACGAGCGCTGCGTGTTTGTAGAGATGGCACGCTTTGCATCTGTGTGTAGTGGGCTCTGCTTTAGTGATGTCTGGGAGACCTCGTGCTGGATACCCAAAAACATTGATAAAAATGACATGCAAAGGGTGGCAGAGGTGAACTTTCCAGTGTGAGACGAATGGCTCCTCTCTTGTTTTGCTTTCCAAAAAGATATAAAGCATGAATAACTCTGAATTATGGAAGATCTGCCCCGATTGCAATGTCTAAGTAGTTACCAGTGCTCCGGTGACTTGACTTTGTTTCCGCAGTCACCTTGGAGCCGCATCAGTCCGTGAGGCTCCTGACATCAGTGCCAGGCTTGCACAACGCTGTCACCTGGACGCGGGTTGTGCCCCGTGAGACCTCACCGCTGGATCTTCTCTGGAGTTTGTCCCCACTCCGTCCTGTCTCCTCTGTGCTGGGCAGAGGAGCCGGGGTGGCGGACAGAGGCTCTTGACGTTGTGCCTCAAGCCAGGGGCAGCGTCTTGGTGGGAAAGCACAGGCAGGGTCTCTGGGTGAGGAGAGGTCCGAGCACAGTTTAGAGGAGCTTTGGGGCAGCCTGAGGAGCGGGTGGGTCTCGGGTGCTGCCTGCAGTGCCCGGGTGCCCCAGCTCTGCCCGTGAGCAGTCTGGCAGCTGCCTCGCGGCTGGAAGACCTGGTGCCTCCCGCCTTTCCTCGATGGGGAGCGGTACATCCGCATTGCGGGTGCCCTCAAAGGGTTTGGGTGTGCTTCTGGCAGTGCAGTTATTCCCTGTGGCACAAATGGTGCAGTGAGCCTTTAAATGTGCTTGAGTGATGGCTGGGTGTTGCACGCTGGAGCCAAGGTGAGTCACCATTTTGGGTGCAAAACTTATGCTAGAGTTTCTGGGGGAGGGCTTAAAGTTTCCCAGTTTCTCCTTGTGGAATACTTTTGTTTCATGGGGGTTTTGCCTCTCTTGTGATGTGGGGATGCGGTCTGCTGCCCTGCGTCACCCGGGCCCGTTTGTGTAGCGAGTTCCCGCGTCCTTCGCAGACATTATGTGAGTTTTGTCTCTTTACCCTAAGGATTTTTTTATTTAATTTCAGGGAACTTGAGTGCTTTGTGGCCCCTAGTTTTGTGGGGGTATGAGGAGGGACTTTGGCAGGAGATTCAGTGGTCCACAATTGCCTGGGGTTACACCAGACCAGACGTGTGAAGGTGACTGAAGGCTCCTTGGGGCTCTGGTGCATTTAGTACCATAGTGGATCTCTTGTAGTCCTCCTTTTCCCTTGTAAAGGTTCTGTTTGCTTTACTCTGGCGGTTTCTTGTGCGGATTTTGTCCCCACCCTATTGTAAGCCAAGAGATGGGTCGTGTCGCTGGATGCTCCCATGCAGATCAGACTTCTTGAAAGGAAAAAAAAAAAAAGCCACGGGTTTCTCTGATGTATGGGGCATCACTCGCTGTGTTGCAGAATCAGCCTGCGATAAAATAAGCAGAAACACATCTGGCATCGTAAAAGCTGGACAGATCTTAAAGGCTCAGTATATAACGATGAGTGCACCCACAAGAAAGAATTAAAATAATACTCTGATCTATAGGCCTAACTGCTAAGTTACAAGCATTAATGCAGCCAGTTAATTTATTTAGATCAGGTCCAAGTAGAAACGTGCAAGCAGCAAAATGGTCCCTGCAGACACATGTGCTGCTGACGGTCTCGTCCCCCAGCTCACCGTGGCGGTCCCTTCCCAAAAACCTCTGTTGCCACTTCCCCCCCTCTTCCTGTGATGGAGCCACGTTACAGATACGCTGCTGGTTCTTATAGACGTGAATCAGCATCAGCATCCCCTTCCCGGCCAAGCAAAACAAATGGGAAATGAAATGACAATGGTAGTGTTGGAATTTTATTTATTGATGTGTTATTTCACTGGGAGGTTTACTTGGGAAAAGAGGTGGCAAGGATTGAGGCTGGGCCTGTTATGGTATAGATTGCAGATATGAGCAGATAATCCTTTCTGCTGGCTTCTAGAAGCAACTTCTTGTGCTTTCACTGAACTGCTGTCTCCACCTTGGCAGCTCAGACAGACCCCTGGAGAGATGAGAGCTTTGGCTGAAAAGAGATCCCTTTACTTTAAAGGTTGCCCCCTTGTTTATACACGCCACTTCTGTTGATGTCAGTGACGGTCTCATGGGTGAAGTTGAAATCAGAACTTGTCCCTTAACCATAAATTTGTGCAAAGCAAAACACCATCTTGGGGCATAGGTCAATTGAACATTTTAATCATTTATTTTTTTTCCCCGATAACTGTATGTTTTGAACCAACTGGAAATCGGAGTTACTTCTGAAAGCCTTGTGATCTCTCTTTGTAGTCTCCTGAGCCTGATTTGAAGATAAAGCAAAAGACTTTGCCACACCTCATTGCTTGTATTTTAGATCTTCACCTACTGGCAGATGTCATGCCATTAAATGTGAGGAATGCTTATGAAAAAATAGATGAATACATAAAACAAGTATTGTTAAAATAACAATGGCTTACGTATATCCAAATAGGCTTTCTGAAATTTTTTTGATAAAAACTGTGGCAGGGATAATGACCGCTTTCATGTTGAGCTATTCTGCTGTAATTTTGTTTTGTATAACAGTTACATATTATATTACTCAGTAGAGTTTATTGTTCTTTTACCTCACTCCAGGCGAGTAGCAGCCTTTCAGCATGGCTGGAGACACTCCAGCTGGATCAAAGTGACGTGAAAACGGTCAAAACTTCCCTTCCAGTTAGGTCTGCTGCACAGTTTGTTTAGGAAACAAAAACGTGTTTTAAATGTTAATTGAGCCTGTGTTTATCTCTTGGGGGGGGCGGGGTGTCATCTTCCAAATAAACTAGTGAATGTGTACCAAAAAGTCAACCTCTTTCAAGCCATAGAGGAAAAAAGCTCATTCCGTCACACCGTCCCAGCCCTTCCGAGGATGGAGCTGTAGCTTTTCCCCATATGGCTGACGGGAAGCAATTTGTCTGATGCACTTTTCTCATTTATCTCTGTCATGGCACAGTGTAGCAGATCCTCTTTTGCTTAAAATAAGTTGACTTTTTCTTCAAAAAATGTCTTGCATGTGATGCTCGGGCTGTGTTCTGCCGAAGTCCCCTGTGTATTTTTATGGCCCAGCTGTACTTGGAATCAAACTTTCAGCAATTTTTTCTCTCCTGTTACACGGTCCCAGAAGAGAAGAGGTAATAACAGTATTGCCCCACAATTGAGGATCTGTATGGCACATGACTTCCCCTCCTTTTCTGCTAACCCTTGGGATGAAGAGATTTTTTTTATTTTCCTAAAGTGCCTTTGCTTGCATTTCAGCACAGGCTGTAAAAGCAAAATGTTTCCCAATTTCTGTACCAATCTGTGGAGCACCAAGTGGGTTTCACTCTGTGGAGCCATACCCGTTTACCTCGGTGTAGGATCTGATAAGAGCTCCTGCAATAATTGCTGCTTTTCCCGCTTGGGTGTTTTTACAACTGTGAAACCTAATACATGGAACAATTATAACAAAGCAGAAGAACCCTAATGCATTGCTTCACCTTCAGGGTTTGAGTTTTAGTATGTGAATTTGTACACGTACGTACAGAAATAGTTGGAATTGGAGTTGTGTGCCCTTGCCAAGCAGAGATGATAAAGTATCCTTGCTAGAAAATATTTGCATGTTTAATATTATGATCCAAAACAGCGCCTTTAATCCTACTTTGTGGGGGATGTGATCTCACTGATAAATTGGCGAGATCACATCCCCCTGATAAAATGGCTAGCAAAACTTTGGCTGCAGAGGGCATATCAGGCTGCAGTGCGTTGGCAGTGATTGATCCAGCTGCCAGACAGCGCCTTATCGCGTGTTATGACATCTTAAAACGAAATCTCATTTTAAACTTCTCTTTGGTGCAGTGTTAGTCGTGGGTCTAATCTGAGCGTTGCTCCTAAATGAATTGCTATGAAAGGAGAGAGCCTCTGTGATTTACGAGGTACGTTAACCTCTCGCCATTAGCGAGCAGAGGTGCTGATTGTCCCCCAGCTGCTGCCCGCTGCACCTCGCTGCTCTGCCGACGCTGTGCTGGGGGAGTCCCGCTCGGCCTGGGTAGCGCTGGTGACGACAGGCTAGGAGGTGACACTGCTAAATATAGCAAATCAGCTATCAGGTCCAGAAGGGAAGTTGCGATTGGGAAACATTTTATGGTCTGAAAAATAGGTTTTCACTCCTGGCAAAGCATTTGTAACAGCTAGTGGCATACGCAGAATTGACTGCAATCAATTGAGCCTGGTGACTTCATTGTTTGCAGTTATGGAGTGGAGAGTAACGCGGACAAAGGAAAAATCCAGAAATTAGCCCATTAATACAACGAGGCTGTAACAGAGACACAAAACCACAGTTGGTCGTGGGTTGTGCGGTGCCACAAACCAGCGCAGCCCTGAGTGGCAGGTTGTAATGCATTTGTGTCCATGCTAACGCCTCCGCGAGCTCAATGTGCAACAGGTCGGGTATGGACATGAGAACAGAGACCCTGGGGGAGAAGACCCCATGAACTGGAGCACTCGGCCCCTTGTGAGAGAGTTTGCCTGCCACAAACAGCACAGAATAAAGCAAAAAAAGGACACAGACGTTGGGTTTAGGGAGGTGAAGTAGCTTGGCCAGGCTCATAAGGCTCATCAAAGATGAAAGGGGATCTAGGTCTGCTGCCGGTGCTCTGATCTCTGAGCCAGGCTGATCTACCACCCTAGAGCTACACAGGGCCCTTCAAAGAGGCTTTAGACACTCTGTCTGTCGGTCGGAGGAGACAAGGCGTGCTGAAGTTAGGTGGGGTTAGGTAACACCGAGAGGAGTAAACTTAACATCAAGAGTACACAAAAATAAACTCTGCGTTTGATGCAGTTGCCTTGTTGTTAGTTATCATGGGGTAGCCACTGTTCCCCAGTGACAATGTTTTAATCAGCAGCATGCGCACAAACCTCCCTCGCACAACCAAACAATGAATTAATTGGTTTAAAATGGTTCTTTTCTCCTCGTGTTGTCTAGGAGCGAGCCAGAATATGCCTGATGTATTTGGTGAACCAGCTGGCCAACATGGAGCACTCATTTCACCATATTCTTTTACTGGAAATTAAGAGTCTCACTGACACCTTCGCCAGCATCTTGGGCACCCAGAGCAGAGATATCTACCGCATGAGCAACAGTTTCTCTGCCATAGCCAAGCTCCTCGTCCGACAGCTAGAGAACAACAACGCGTCAGCAGCCAGGTAAAGCTAGTTTCTGTATGACAAAGCCACAGCCATCTCCGTGGCTCTGCGAGGCAGTATAAATGTATCTTAAATATGTTCCGGTTGTGATGAATGAACAATCAGCTGAAAGTAAGATGTACTATCGTTCCTGCAAGTTGCTACCTTGCCATTTTCAAATCAATCTGGATATCCCTCTTGTATCATTCTAGTATATGCTCATTCACCCATTGGATTGTGTAATCTATAGGGTCAGGTAAGCGTACAAAATAGTTTACAGACTTGTAGAAGTATCTTGAGGCATGTGTTTCAAATGCAAGCATAAGGCTGATTGACACTAAAGCAGAAATCTGTAATTAAAGGGTGGCAGCAAGAGCTGTAGGTGTCTGCACTGCCCACTCCAGCTTCAGGCTTCCAGGCAGAGTGACCTCTGAACATCACACAACAGAAATTGCGTCATTTGGCGCTGAAGAATAAAGAAGCTGTTCAAGTTTTAGCACTTACAGAATAGGAAGAAAGCCATGTGTCAGATAAGTAGACTAAGGCAATCTAAAAAGCTTCAGTTAAAAATAAATCAGTGAAGTCAGGCTACACAATTATCATTGAGTTTATTCTAGAAGATAACCACTGGAGCTGATGAGAACGACTGGCGTAGTAGCTCCCTGATAAAGCTTTGCTAAAAAAGTCTGAAAAAAATTTTCAAGCTTGTATAAAAAGATGTTCTGCTCAGCTTCTCTTAAATGTTAAAGCATTGGGAGCGTTGCTGCATTTGTCACAGTAAGAACGTGTTATTTAAATATATGGTTGTAGTCACTTTTAATTAGGGAGAGACTTATAATTAGCATAGTGTATACTGAAATAGGTCAAGAGGGCACAAAGAAATAGTAATTCTGTGATAAAATTTAACACAGATGTCAGAAAACTCATAACCATGAAGGATAGCCTCAGAGACAGACTTGTAGAGTTGGAGCCAAAACATTGAGGTCATTTGAGAAACAATTAATTGGTATCCTGAAGAGAGTTAAAAATGAAAAAAGGAGAGGAACCCTGATGTAGTCCCTCATTTTGCAGCAGGAAATGTCCGAACTTCACCTGGCGGCAGAAACCTCTGCTGAAATTGAGTGAAGATAGTGAAAAAGCCTAAGTGGAAATAGCAGGGTGAGCATGAAGTGACATATGTGTTTTCCAAACCAGCCAGGTTGAGCTGTGAAGAAGAGTATGCCAGATGTCACTTAGGAAAGGGGACCAGAAGGGAACTGCAGTGAGGCAGGGCAGGAATTGAGGTTTCAGTAGCAAAGCATAATAATTATTCATGCAGCCCATTGTGGTCCCTTGGTTTATGGTAGAAAAATAACTTTAACTGCTAAAATGTTGTGATGTTCCTACTCCTTATTATCTTCTGTGCTTAACACTTATCTCTAGAGCTGATAAAAAAACAGTAAAAAACAAGAAAAGGGTTTCATTAAAATGTTGTTGCTGTGTTTCCCTGTAAAATTCCCCTTTGTTAGGGACTCGCTTTGCCAAGGAGTAGAAGTGTGAGTGTGGTTACAGATGCAAAATACTGTTTGGGTGGAGACTCTGGGGGAGGAGAAGGGAGGAAACAATAATATTTTTCAGTGGATTTTTCAGAAAACATCTTTATTTTCCTTTGGGGAAAAAAAAACCCTACTAATTATACCGAGCATGAAAAGAAAGGACTTTGGTGGTTTGCTCATCTAAGTCGTGTTTGCTTCCGAGTGACAAGTTTGAACGCAGCTGCGCGTATGAGCAAGTGAAAATATAACTGCTGTCTTTGGAATATAAAACCCACCGTGAAGTCAGAGGGCCAGACTCTGCAGGGTAATGTGTAGGGGCAGGCGATGGAAAACGAACCCACCTTCTCCCAGGGCTGCAGGGGGGCTGCTCAGAGTTTCTCCTGGTTTAAGGAAGGACAGAGTTTGCAATGGAGGGAACTTAAAATAGACATTGAAGCAGCAGTTAAGCCTAAAATGAGAGTTCTCCACTGATGTTAGGTGGAGTTTCTTTTGATTTGTACTAGCCTAAGTGGGACCGGTCCAGATGTCGACATGGAAATACCCTCGTAGCTCCAGAGCTGCTGCAGTCACTGAACTGCAGTGGTTTTTAAAGAGCGGCAATCTAGAGTATTTATGCTGTGAAAGGAAAACAGGATTTTAAAATGTGTGGCTGGATTATAACCATTCCTTTCAGAATCATGTGTTTACACAAGAAGCTGATTTCTTCAGAGCGATGGCTGGCTTGGAGTTGTTTGACACAGGGAATTTTACGTGCAGTTAGCAGAGTATAATTAAAACCATGCGATGCTCTGTTGCCCCTTACTGTCACAAGTTATTCAGTCTCAGAGGTGCTTTTTAAGAACATATACGGAGTTTTAATGGACTGATCCACCCTAGAAGTATAGCGTGGTCAATTAAAAGAAAGCAAGAAAGGAAAGAAAGAAAATGTAATGATGCCTGCAAGCCCTCGTTCTGAGTAAGAACTGAGTATAACAGGCTATACCACTGCTACTCATTGTAGTGTTGTGGCTGGATGAAATGATCTCTCCTTCTTAAAGGAGAAGATAGGTCTAGCACATGGCATCCTCGAGCATTCATTTACCATTCATTTGCCTTTCATTTTCTATAGTATTTGTTGTCTTTAAATCAACATTTGCAGTGGTAAAGACAGCTGTAATAGCATCTAAGACTCTCCTATGTTGGAAAAGGACCATAGCATGATTTGATTCAGTGCAGGCACCAAGAAGCCTGTCTGCGTGAAGCATCCACTCCCCTTGCTGCTCCGCGTCCTGCCTGGCCCCCGGGAGCAGCAGCCCTACAGCAGGCAGGCTGGGCAGCGCGTGGCCCTGCCTGCTGCCTGGGTCCACCAGCATCAGCTATTGAAATGATCTGGCCTCCTCCGTGAGCACCCTGCGAGAGCAGGGGCTGTGAGCAGCACCGTGTGTGACGTGCTGGAGGATGGAACATCCAGGTCCCTCTGGTCCCTCAGCCTTGAACGTTACCTGGCTGGTGATGTTTCCGTGATCAGTTATTAGCAGTATTTGGAAGCTCTTGATGGGCTTCCCAGCTGTGAGCCAGAGGTTTTGAGATCACTGTCGCTATCCACCACTTGTCTTCAAATCTGTGCTTCCGTCGTGTTTGAGGAGGTGATTATGTCTGTACGTTGACAAACCACAAGGACCCTCACTTGATCCATTCGTGTTGCTTCCATCCACACAGAGTTGAAGCCCTGGAAGCAATCCCATCTCGAGTGTATTTTTAGCAATTTCTATTTGTGTCTGCTCTTTTCCCCATTTTAAGCACCTGACTGGTGATGTTGATAATGGTGCTGGTGGTCTGGAGAAATGCTCTTCAGATTAACATATCACTCCTGACTTGCAGACCCGTTTATTTAGATCTCTTTCTACAGAGAATTTAAAAGCAGTGAAAAGATGAGTACCATGGTACTATCTTTGCAAGCCAGATCCTTATGATTTCTCAATAGGTTTCTGCATCCTCTTCCTCTCGAAAACAGCCTGAGCTTTGGTGTAAGCTGATCCTGCTCCAGCAACCTCAGCAATGTACCGAACGTCTCTTGCCAAGATTTCAAACAATAGTTTATTTTACTGTTGCTGGAAGGGGAGGCCAGCAGGAAGGCCTGCCAGGCGTCCTGTTGGGCGCAGGGTGGAGGCTGCATCGAACGTTTCGCTTGGGGTACGTGCTTTTGGCTTCCCAGGAATCGATGCGAGCGCAAAGTGGGTACACGGGAGAGCGAGTGGTCCCCTGGGGACGTGCCCAGGGCTGAGGGCTCTGCCTCCCTCCCGCAGGGCCTGTGGTTCCCCTGACATCCTGGGCACCAGCAGGGCCAAAACCAGGGTGGTGGCTTGAGGAGCACCCGGCAGCGATGAGCCCTGCGTGCATTAACTTACTGCTGCTTTGCGTATGGCAAATAGGATTCATTAACGTGTTCCTTTAGCCAAAGCGTGTTCTGTATTTCCTTCACGAAGCCATCAGAGCTCAACGGGAGAACACTGGACAAAAAGGTGCTGTTATAAAAGGCCATTTTATTTCCAAACATCATCAAGTCTTCTGGCTTGGGTCTGTCACTCATAAGCCCCATCGGTCCATCAATTCCCCCTCTGTAGCCAGAGGGCTTTATATGTGTATACGTATGCAACAGATATTTTTCTTAGTGCTTAGTTCCCACAATGAGAGCAGTGTTGAGAGTTATGTTGGAGTGACGGCTTTCTAATAAATTAAATCTTGTCCCACATCTCCAGAAAGATTTGTTAGTAAAGGTCATCCCAAGGTTCTTTATTACAGAAGAATAAATTTTTTTCAGTGTTCTGCAGCGTTAATGTATTGTGAGATCTTGCCTTAAATTAAAAACAAAATGAGACAAAACTTGCCAACTCCCCTGAGAAATATCCTGAGCTGCCTTTATCAAAACAAATGAAAAAGTGCATTTTGTGATGCAGTATTCATGGTTGCTTTTTTTAAACATGCTTTGTTTCCACAATTGGTAATTTGCAGTACTTGGGAGTTTTTAATAGGCTTCCCAACTGTGAGTGTGACTTGTTGAGACTCTGCTGCTTTGAAAGTGCTGTGTTAAAACTCTCATTTGAGGCTTTCCATATCCATATTTTATAGTTTTAGCTATTCAGATGTTTGCTCGTCAGGGGAAAAAACCCAAAGAAATAGTCAGAAGCAAAACGAGCTTGTTTTAGAGCTGCGGGTAGACTTTAAAAAATACATACTGTCAAATGCCCCTTAATTCTCTAAGAGATTTCTGATTGTCTCTGTGCTGCCCTCATGATTTTTTGGTCCAGGTGCTCCATAGTTGCAGGAGTGAGATGGGAACGTACAAACCCCCAGCAGAAGGCACCTCCTGAAGGAGTGGGGAAGGAGCAAGAGTGGTTTTAGGCTGTTGGTCCCCTGGGAAATTCAGTCCTGCTGCTGCGTAAGGGCCAGGCAGCATCCGCAAGGGAGAGTGCGGACACTGAGGTTTAGGGTTCTGGGTTGGGTGGTGGGGCCGGACCCTTCTCCGGGGGGTTTCCTCTGCCGTCGGGCTTTAGCTGGCAGCGATTACTGCCCCGCTGCTGGGCCTCCGACGAAGACAATGGTTTTCACTGCTCAGAGGGTATTTGCATCACTAGAAAGGAAATGTTTACCAGCAGTGTATTTGACAGAAGAATTTTTTGTTCTTTAAGATTAACAGCTTCCCTCCAATTTAATGTGAAGTTACCTTTGAATTTTGCATTAAAAGGTTACATATTCTAAGACTAACATAACAGTCAAATTTAAAATAAAACAGCTCCCCTTGCAGCCCTACAAGTTCATTTTGACTCTTAATTTTCTCTTTCTCTTTTGGTGAACTTCACCACATTGCTTAGAAGTTTTTCTGAGCTTGCTTCTGTCCATGTGCCGAGTTTTAAAAGATATTTTTCTTACCCAGAGTACAGTAATTCAGTAGGAACTGCATGTCCTTTTGTCAAACCTTTAAAACCACAGACTTCTATAAACTCTGCAATTAGCTCTACTTCTGGTTTATGAAAATATTGTAATATGTCCCTGTTTAGCAAGCTGAGAGAATGGTTTAATTCAGTTGAAAATCTTTGCTATGGGACTATCAGGGAAAG